AAAAAATTCATTATCAATTAATTTTGCCACATACAGTCAAAACCTAAAGAAAGAATATCCGTACCTATTTTACCGACATAATTTACTAGGGAGAATATTTGTCAATAATAAAATTTTAAACTATGATTATTATCAATAAATATTTTTATCAATGTTAAAATCCTAAAATATATTACTAAAATTTGTCAAATGAAATGTTACCATTTCTATTTCGTATATTTTTAATTTTATCCTGTGTAACATATTTTATTTATTCAATTATAAATGAAAATAGAAATAACATAAGAGACATACCGATGAAAAATATATAGTATTTTGTGAGGATAAGAATTCATTTAGAAAAATGTTAAGTAGAAAAATGAAACTAATAATTTAGTGTATAAAGATTAATTTATACGCTTAAACTGAATTTTAAATAATTGCAATGTTTAAGAAAATCAAAATCTCACCGACGAATGTAAAGTCACAAAAGTGTTCTTAATATTATTTATTACGTAGCGAACTTTTATAAGTTCCCTATTTTATTCTTTGTGATGTGAAGTTGATTATAACGTTTCTTCATAATCACGTTTAACACAATATCAACCACCAAACACAAAATTATTTATTATTTATTCTGGTCGGAAAGAATGGAGGCTAAGGAAAGGAGAAAAAAAAAACGTTGAAATCTATTTATTTCATTTCTTATAAACTTCCTTTAATATTTTTAAAATTTGTATTAAATTAATAAAACTACATAATTTTTAAAATAATTATCTATTTCTGAACTTATTTTTCTATTTATTATCTCTATTTTTTCCCTCCAGACGAAAGATACTATACAGAGCACTATAGTCACATTTCCATCCTTATTCCAACCAATAATTATGGAAGCATTGTGTAGTCTATGAATGCTTTATGTCTATGTACTATTATTGAGAAATAATATAAATTGCATATTTTTTAAGAGAAGAACAGTAATTTTATTATGAAAATTAGTGGTGTATAATTATTTCAAGTGAATAAATAGTCCATCTTCATTATTGTTTTCAATTTTTTTATTGATATATATAATATATAATAGTTTGAAATTTAAATTACTGACATTTAAAAATAAACTACCATGGGACCCGTGCGTACGGACTTTTTAAAAAATTATAATAAAATAAAATAATTATTATTGTATTTAAAAATTTCATATGTAGATTTTGTGAGACCCCTGAAAAAGGGTTAAAAAGAGTGAATATGTGTATTATACTAATGAGACCAGATTTTATTTTGATATAAATAGATTTTTAAAATATCATGGTTCATTAGCATAAACAACCATCAATCTCTCTTAGAACTCAGAACTCCAAGTTCCTCTACCTTCTCTCTAACCTCTACACTCACGACTCAGTGCATGTCCGTTTAGGTGGTGTCCAAGCTTCCACAGCGTAGAGGCTTTATTTTGAACCGATTACTTCTTTCATTCTGACCGGTAAGTGTTCTCCCCTTTTCCTCCTCTGTTTTGGAACCTAGGGCATGTTTTTTCTACTGATTTCATGTAACTAGAAACCTTCTCCTTCAATTTCTTGTCAAAACTTAGTTCTAAAGAGCTGTTCATCACCCATTGGGTGGTTTGTAGGGTTTGTTTGAGTTCTTACTAGCACACGGTCTTGGTAGGTTCGGTCTTAGTAGCACACGGTCTTGGTCGCGTTCGATCTTGGTAGCACACGATCTTGGTAGCGTTTGGTCTCTCTTAGTGGTCGGTCCTATAGTGTTCGGCCACTTCTTCAGTCTATCTTTTATGGACCGTTCGGTCCTGTCCTTGGAAAGTGAGATACCGTTCGGTCTCCACCATTCACAGTGTGTTCGGTCTTTCTCATTATGTGTTGATGTTTTCTGTTCTCGCCTATATTTTCTATTATTCCAGTATGCTCTTTTAATTAATTGTTTCCAGTTGGCTTTAAGGGCTTATGTATGCATTATCATGTTGGTGTTAAAGTGAAAAGTATCAGTATTGGACGTAATTCCATGATCCTCAAGGGGGGATTCATGCCGGTGCCCTTTCAGTGTGTTTAGAATGATTTGCATGGAAGCTCAGTCTTGGGGGTTATCCTGAAACTACAATGGTCAATCATTCTCAAGTAGAGAGGATTAAACCATGTCGTGAGTAGTAGCGGGAGGTCTTAGTCTTGGAGGCTCCCAGTATGCTCCAAGGCGCGGTACAGACTAACCTCGTGAGTGTGGTAGGGTGAAATCCATCGACAATGACTTTGCAAAGCAGTAGAAGCCACCACGAGTGCATGACCCTCATGCTGCCTCTCGTCAATCATTCTATGTTCGGACGAGTCAAGTGTAAAGTGTAACAAGTGGTGTTGTATGGTTCATTGACTTTGAATTAAACTTGCATGTTGTATGTGATTGTTATAACATGATTTTCGTATATCTAGTTCACCCTTGCTTCTGTGTTTGTGTTTTTCTTGTGTGTGCTTTTCTTTTGCAATGATCATCTACTTGGATGTGAGCATAGGTGGATGAGGTACACCTGGAGAAGGCCCTGGATGGTGATGATGTTGCAGCTTAGTTTGTTTAGGAGTTTCTAAATTAAGTTCTATCATTTTGAAATACTCTAAGGTGTTTAGTTTTAAATTATGACTAAATTTGGGATGAGTGTAACTTAATACCTTATTTACAGTCTTATTCTAATTTTTTTTTATATTAAAAATGTGGACTGCTATATTATATAGTTATATATAAGTTGGATGTTACCATTTTTTGGATATTAAAATGTACAATAATAATGTGCATGGGTTTAAATGAATAACTGAAATAAATATTTATTGTGATTAGAAATGAAATGTTCGTGAAGTGTAGTAATTATAATGAGTATAAATATTATAATGAAAAATGCAATTATTATAACAAATATAAATCATAAAACAATGAAATATAAATTATTGTTACAAATTTGAAATTTAAATTTAGTACGTAAATTCATAAACTTTAACGGTGATGATATTAAAATGTTATATTTTTTAATTAAATTATATCATATTTAGAAAATATATATCCTGGAAAAGATTATGTATAATCATGATTGCTAGTAAAGTAATAAAAAATAATGTATATTTCAATATAAGATTTAGAAGTATAAAAGTGAGTCAACAGGGTTTAGGTAAGTTAAAAAATAGTAAGTTCTATCTGATTATTTTTTTGTAAGTTAAATATTTTGTAATTTGATTTGATTCACCGAGATTGATGGGTTGACTTATTTTATTTTTGTAATTTATTTTATATACAATAGAATTGACTCAAAATTATTTTACAGTGGTAGAATAAAAGTGTTTATCTAGTTTGTCACATTCACATATCTATTATACAAATTCAAGGAACACTTTGAATATCTGACCGTTCTTCAATTTTTTCTTAAAATATTTAAAAAGAAAAACAAATCTATTATTCAAACTTTAATATAATATTTTTATGTTGTACAATAAAATTAAAAATAATATCAATATTTTCTTAACATAAATTTGGTTAGATTATGATACTCTTTAACATTAAAAACGCCGCTTCAAGAGTTTATTTATGAATAATAAATTGTAGACTGAAATTTGATAAATATTTTTGCAGTGCTACAACCTTCAAGTTTATTTATAATATATGGAAATATATATATATTGTGAAATAAGTGTGTGTACTTTTTTTAATAAAAATAATAATAAATTTTAATAATAAAAGTAAATATAACTTTTTCATTCTTTATTGTTATGCTCAAAACAACCGCAAATAAATGGTACTTTTAATAGGATGGGTTTGGGATGGTTGAATTTAGTTTTAATAGGATTTTGGAAGGTAACCTGAAGGTGTAATGAGTAATAATAGAGATTGAAGGATTGGAAAAATCAATTTCAAAACTGTCAATACCAATTTCATGAAAAAGAGTTATATTAATTTTTTTAAAATAAAATAAAAACTAAATTAAAAATAAAAAATAAGATATCAAAGGGGAAAAAGAAACTTGAAATTATTTAAATGTGAAAGTACATGGGACCAGAACAAATAGCATGTTTAGATCGACATCCCACATGTGTTTTTTCACTTATATATATAAGCTACGTAATCCACTTTTCATTCTTTTTATTTTTTATTTTATCTTATTGAAAATATACAACATGAAACAGAATTAATCAATGGCTCTATGATTAACTTTTTTTTTCTACATATGATGTGCTGAATTAAACCTAACATTTGAAAGTTTTAAAAATAGGATATCAATTCACTTTAATCCATATGTTTGCTTTGTATTTAGGGTATATTTTGTAGTTGCTTTATTTGTTTTTTTTGTAATTTATTTAGGTATATTGTTTCTCTTTTGATTATGCCCTATGCACGTTTTGAGGATAGTGTGTATATATTTTTATTAATATTTATTCCGTTACTTGTTAATTTTTATTAGATTATTATTAAAATATTAAATATATAGAATGTTATAATATATTGAAATACTTTACCTAATATCTTTTAGTAAGATATTCAAATACAAAATAATATTATTAATATATATACTAGGGATTGATTTACTTCAACAATAACTTAAATTACTTTTACTCTCAACTTTTTTACAGATTATTTTTTAATCAATAAATTATAGATTTACATTAATAGAAATTGATGGACCAAAATCAAACAAACTGACAGATTTTACCACTTTAATAGAAATTGAAACCAAAAATCAAGTACAAAAAAACAACTTTTACAACAAACAATATCAGTTTTGAATTGTCAGCAGTAAGTTTCTCAGAAATATAAGTGAAAAAAATGGAGAATCTTGAAAAAAAAGAAAAAGTATACTAGCAGGCACTCTTAAGGAATCTGATAAAATTACTCAAAACTAATGCATATATGTAATTTCTTAAAGACTATAGCATCTCCATGGATGCTTGAGATTGTTGAATGAAGACCAGGATTTCTTGATGTGCAATCTGATTAAATGTTTTGTATACTTTTTAATGTTAAGAAATAAATACAGTACCCAAATTTAAACACTATCAAATTCTAAATAAAAATTACACAAGTGTCTATGTGTTGCCATGTACCACCAAACAATTCACACCAATGTTTCAGAAATAGTTGTTCAAAACATAAAACATCACCTCCTCAAATTACACGTGTAGTTCAAGAGAATCGATTCACATAATTCATACAACAATGCTATCCTAAAACTCAAATGTCTGCATCAATGAGCTTTAGGCTTTTTTGTCTGACTTCCTTGAAGCCGAAATGCTGCACAGATCTTCCTCCAACAGCGGACGGCAATGATAGAGGGTATTACAATCCAAGAGAAATTTGCTCCAATATAGTATGCATAATAGTAAAATGTGTTGCTAGAAAAATTATCACCTTCCAAAATAGCTGTGATGTAATAGACAGCAGTTCCATATAATTGACCCAAAGAAATGGCAAACTGCAGTATGTAGCTGTATGACTTTCCCGTAGCTATTGCATACCTGGAGAAATGAAAAACAAGAGCAGATGAAACATTCAATCCAATGTAAACTTACTACAGCAACAGGTGTTTGTCTTGTTAGATGTTATTGGAAACAGAAATCAGTCACTCAGTTAATGAAGATTCTCTATCAGCAGAGTCACAACTATAGTTATCTTAGTAGAATCTTTTGTTCTTTAGGTTCAACTTACACTGCTAGGAGGCTAGCTGGACCCTCCAAAACAGCTGTTATTCCTTCAACAGTAACTACTCCTGCATCCCTTCCTGCATACCTTGAATCCCCTTTGCTATATTCCTTCCCTGTTCATTAGAAAACTTCCATCAGCTAAAAGAATGCAAATACCTTAAAGGGAAATCCAAATTTCAATTTGTATACATTTCTGACAAATGCTAAAGAAACTTACAAACTTCAGCCAGGTAGAAGCCACTCTTATCCTTGAAAAACTCAGGTGAGAAAACAAAATAGCCCTCAAGAATCATGTGTGTAAGACCTGTGAAGGCCCACCAGCACATCAGCACTCTGTCAACTTTCCTTTTCTTAAGACCTCCTGAAAAAAATACAAAATCATCTAAACACAATCAGAAAACCTACTACCACCATTCCCACAACCTGATCACAAAAATTCAAATAACAATCATAGTGGAAAGCACGGACATCCTAAACATACCACTCATATCAATTTCACTCTCCAATACATTATACTTTCCAATGTCCTTGTTGGTCAGGACAAAACTTAGATGCAATTTTTTAAGTCCATTTGGTACTGTTCTCCAATTACATGACAGATCTTTATTACTTGGATTACTATAAGATAGAACTTTTATTGTAAATCTCCACCAAAGGCACATATAATTTTGTTCTACTACACAGTTAGCCACTACGAAAGTGGGTTTGACAATCAAGGACTGTAACTAGTTTCAGAGACGATACATGGTTAACCGGTAACAACTACTTTTGGATTGTATTATATTGATACCAAAGCACATTATTAAACAATAAATCAGAAGCATAGCAAATGCAAATCAAGACTGGAAAACAAAAAAGAAAACAGATCTATTCAATTTGGGAGACACTGCACATTCGTAACAGAGAGAAACAATGTTTGACAGATGCAAATAGATTGGAAGACATTGCACATTGGTAACATAGAGAAGCAAATGTTTGACTGCACAGAGAAGTAAATGTTTGACAGATGCAAATCAAGATTGGAAGACACTGCACAGAGAAGCAAATGTTTGAAAGATGCAAATCAAGATTGGAAGATACAGCAATGGTAACATAGAAGAAAATGCTTGACAGATTATTTTAATCCTGACTACTTCAAATCGAAAGAGGGTAAAAAAGCAATCTTTTCAATTGTGGCACTTGAAACATGTGAAATATCTAACCCCCAGTTTCTCAGTAACACTCAAAATCAAATTTTGAAAAGCAACCAACACTAAATACACAAACTTTAGCCGAAATGAAATGTTTCGAACAAAGGGTTTTTAATTTAAAAAAAAAACAATGACCCATCATGGTGACAAAAACCTCACCAGACACACACCCCACACAGAGATTTAAAACCTGTTAAGGAAAACAATTGAAATAAGAATGTTTAAAATAAGATGATGGGTTCTGAAAATGTGGGAAGAAAGTGTTGAAACCTGAGAAAATCCAGATGAGAGAGACGATGAGCAACGAGGAGAAGGCGAAGACAGAGATAATGTTGGACATGGAAAGGAAGCAGGGAGAGTAATCGGGTAGGTGCAAATCGAGTGGGACATAGGGGTGACCCTGCGAGACTAGGGATGGATCCATCTTCTTCTTCTTCGGCTTCTCCTGGCGTCGCAATGGGTATAGAGACTGCTTAGTGTTGACTGATGAGTTGGACAGAGAGTGTGTGAAAGGAGATAAGGGATGTGATGTGACACAATACTTCTTTCATCTTACGTTAATTCAATCTTCTACATTTGTATTTGGAATTTTCGATGATATTTTATAGATATTTTTAAATAAATAAACTCAGTGAATAAATATTTTTACTAATAGCATTTTTTAAAAAAAAATTACAGTTTTCATATACTTTAATTCTTAAATTGTAAAAATAGATTATTATAATCATTTTAGTTCCTCTCTTGATAAGAAAACAGTAAAAAATTATATGCTTAGATAACTATTTTTAAAATCGAGATTGTGAGATATATACTGTATATAGTTATGCAAAGAATAATTTTTTTTCATGTAAAAAAAATCATAATTGAGTATAAATTTTAAGAAAGAAGTATATACATCAATTGAAACAATTTCTTTTATTATTATTTTAACAACAATTATATTTTAGTTTGACCATGAAAAAGAAGGAAATATTGTTTTAATAAGTTGTATACAATAACAAAGATGATAGAGAATTAGGATATTTAATATGATACAATTCATGAGAGAGGAAGACAGAAAGTTATATTATTGATTAGGAAATGTTCATTTTAAATATGTAATAATTAATGTTGCTGATTAAAATAATATAAGTTCATATAACTAACATATTTTCTAAAAACAAAAATACTTTTTTTATTTGTTATGTTTACATTTTTAAACACAAAAACAAATGTTTTAGAATTTCTAACGTCTTTATAAGAAAGCAAAAATATTTATTTGAAAAATAAATGCTACAAAAAGTTTTCAAAGTGAGAGAAAAAAACTCAATCGAAGTATCGACTTTATATTTCAATTACTTTTTTGTAAAATCTTTAGATGTTTAGAATTTGATTATTTAATAATTGATATACTGGACTGTTTATTTTTTTATTTCAATTTGTTGCTTTTTTAGATAATTTAAGTTTTTTTTTTCACATTTATTTTTTAACAATATTAAAATAAAAGACAATGGACTAAAAAGAGAAAGAAACCCTACAACAATATTAAAATTATTTATTATTTAATCATTATTTTTGTATCAAATAAATTATCAATTATATTTCTATAATATTTATAGACATTCTTTAAATAAAGTAAAACTTCATAATGATTTAACATCAAAATTAATTATAAAATTTTATAAAATGTAATGTTTATTAATTATGTTTAATCATTGTCCTACTCATGCATGGAAGATTGAGATTAACAATGATTTTATTTCAATTACTTTTGCAATAAATGAATCCCTACTCATATTTTATACAATGAAATTACAAAAATAATAGCGGAGTAGTTTATCCTATATGTTATAATTAAGTTAACATCTTAAATAGGATGAATTGGAAAATATGTTGATTAAGTAGAAAATTAAAAAAAAAATGTAACTACATCTATGATAGTACGTAATTGAATTACTAAAAATAGATGATTGCAAATTTTACCTCAAAGTTAAAATTTGAAATTTTTTATATCAAATATATGTCTATTAAAGGTTTGACTGATATTAGTTTGAAATTGTATAATTCGTTAAGATTAATTAAATTATTTAAAATTAAATAAGTTTAAATTACATTTAAAAATAACAATTTGAAAATATTCATATTTTTAAATTCATGTTTTCTTTTATTTAAAATTTGTTGAGAACTTTATAAATTACAATTTGTTGTTAATTTTCCTTTGATATTAGTTAGAATAATTTTTTAGAGACTTTTTTTTCTAGATATTACTTTTTTTTCTAATATAAACTGAAAAAAAGTAAAAGAGAATACTTAATTGGGTTAAATATGTTTTTAGTCCCTAAACTATCAAGAGAATTTGTTTTTAGTCCCTAAACTATCAAGAGAATTTGTTTTTAGTCCCTCTTTCAAAGTAAGGTACATTTTACTCTCCTTCTTCAAAAAAACCTTAATTTTTTGTCCTTCTAAGAGGATAAAAAATTAACGTTTTTGTTAAATATAATGACTAAAATGTACCTTACTTTGAAAGAGGGACTAAAAACAAATTCACTTGATAGTTTATAGACTAAAAACATACTTAACCCTACTTAATTAGATGTAATAGTCCCCCTAAAAACACAAATATATTGTTTACCCGATCATGGGTTTTTCTAGGTGCATCATTATTAATTATGTTAATTATAATGTATTCTTGTGAGAAAAATGGTTAATTTTATGGAAAGGGTATGATTTTAGTGGGATCTTAATCGTGGTTTACATACATGTGATAAAATCTTACTTGAATATTTTTAATAGTTAAAATAAATTTTTTTGCAACTTAAAAGAGAGAGATTCACTTGGAAAAATCTCTTCATCAATGTTAACAAGAAAGTTTGAATCTTTTATAAATAGTAAACAGTATCAGTGATTATTAAATAAGTATTTTTTTAGAGAATATTAGTTGTATGTATAAGATCAACATTGATTGTACTTATAATAAATATATAATAACATAATGATACATCATCGTAAAAAATAATAACTATAATATCAAACTCTCGAGATTAATTATGATATGTGGATATTATCCCAAAGGTAGGTTTAAACTTTTCCAAAATGAAGAGACTTCATGTGCCTTACATACTCTTTAGTATGTCTATATATTGGAACTTATAGGTTGTGTTCATTTGGAGGAGATGATTTGGGGAGTGAGGGGATGAATTTGAGAGAATTTGAGGATACATTTTTTGTTGTTTATTTGAATGGATTGGGAGGTAATTGAGAGTGGATTTGAAAGTAAAGTTTGTGAGAATTAGCGTAGAATTTGATTGATGTGATAGATAAAAAAATTTGTTTAATTGATAGAAATTAAAGATTACCAAAATGCCCTTAGTTATTAAAGTAATACAAAATGATAATTGTTAATTTTATATTTAATTCTAAAAATATTTATAAGAGAAAAAAAATTAATTTTTAAAATGTAATAAAAATAGTAATTTAGTAAATTGAAATAATAATAATAATAATAATAATTATTATTATTAATAATATTTTTTGTTATTATTAATATTATTTTTTTTTTATTTTAATAATAATAATATTATTATTACTATTTTTATTATATTTAATATTATTATTATATTTATTATTATTATTAAAGATGAGAAACACTAGATTTAACACATGAACATGAATCGGCAAGGGAGGGTAGATATGAGAATTTCTCATAAATCCCTCCAAATCACACCTTTCATGCGATGATTGAAGANTTGAAATAAGAATGTTTAAAATAAGATGATGGGTTCTGAAAATGTGGGAAGAAAGTGTTGAAACCTGAGAAAATCCAGATGAGAGAGACGATGAGCAACGAGGAGAAGGCGAAGACAGAGATAATGTTGGACATGGAAAGGAAGCAGGGAGAGTAATCGGGTAGGTGCAAATCGAGTGGGACATAGGGGTGACCCTGCGAGACTAGGGATGGATCCATCTTCTTCTTCTTCAGCTTCTCCTGGCGTCGCAATGGGTATAGAGACTGCTTAGTGTTGACTGATGAGTTGGACAGAGAGTGTGTGAAAGGAGATAAGGGATGTGATGTGACACAATACTTCTTTCATCTTACGTTAATTCAATCTTCTACATTTGTATTTGGAATTTTCGATGATATTTTATAGATATTTTTAAATAAATAAACTCATTATAGTGAATAAATATTTTTACTAATAGCATTTTTTAAAAAAAAAATTACAGTTTTCATATACTTTAATTCTTAAATTGTAAAAATAGATTATTATAATCATTTTAGTTCCTCTCTTGATAAGAAAACAGTAAAAAATTATATGCTTAGATAACTATTTTTAAAATCGAGATTGTGAGATATATACTGTATATAGTTATGCAAAGAATAATTTTTTTTCATGTAAAAAAAATCATAATTGAGTATAAATTTTAAGAAAGAAGTATATACATCAATTGAAACAATTTCTTTTATTATTATTTTAACAACAATTATATTTTAGTTTGACCATGAAAAAGAAGGAAATATTGTTTTAATAAGTTGTATACAATAACAAAGATGATAGAGAATTAGGATATTTAATATGATACAATTCATGAGAGAGGAAGACAGAAAGTTATATTATTGATTAGGAAATGTTCATTTTAAATATGTAATAATTAATGTTGCTGATTAAAATAATATAAGTTCATATAACTAACATATTTTCTAAAAACAAAAATACTTTTTTTATTTGTTATGTTTACATTTTTAAACACAAAAACAAATGTTTTAGAATTTCTAACGTCTTTATAAGAAAGCAAAAATATTTATTTGAAAAATAAATGCTACAAAAAGTTTTCAAAGTGAGAGAAAAAAACTCAATCGAAGTATCGACTTTATATTTCAATTACTTTTTTGTAAAATCTTTAGATGTTTAGAATTTGATTATTTAATAATTGATATACTGGACTGTTTATTTTTTTATTTCAATTTGTTGCTTTTTTAGATAATTTAAGTTTTTTTTTTCACATTTATTTTTTAACAATATTAAAATAAAAGACAATGGACTAAAAAGAGAAAGAAACCCTACAACAATATTAAAATTATTTATTATTTAATCATTATTTTTGTATCAAATAAATTATCAATTATATTTCTATAATATTTATAGACATTCTTTAAATAAAGTAAAACTTCATAATGATTTAACATCAAAATTAATTATAAAATTTTATAAAATGTAATGTTTATTAATTATGTTTAATCATTGTCCTACTCATGCATGGAAGATTGAGATTAACAATGATTTTATTTCAATTACTTTTGCAATAAATGAATCCCTACTCATATTTTATACAATGAAATTACAAAAATAATAGCGGAGTAGTTTATCCTATATGTTATAATTAAGTTAACATCTTAAATAGGATGAATTGGAAAATATGTTGATTAAGTAGAAAATTAAAAAAAAAATGTAACTACATCTATGATAGTACGTAATTGAATTACTAAAAATAGATGATTGCAAATTTTACCTCAAAGTTAAAATTTGAAATTTTTTATATCAAATATATGTCTATTAAAGGTTTGACTGATATTAGTTTGAAATTGTATAATTCGTTAAGATTAATTAAATTATTTAAAATTAAATAAGTTTAAATTACATTTAAAAATAACAATTTGAAAATATTCATATTTTTAAATTCATGTTTTCTTTTATTTAAAATTTGTTGAGAACTTTATAAATTACAATTTGTTGTTAATTTTCCTTTGATATTAGTTAGAATAATTTTTTAGAGACTTTTTTTTCTAGATATTACTTTTTTTTCTAATATAAACTGAAAAAAAGTAAAAGAGAATACTTAATTGGGTTAAATATGTTTTTAGTCCCTAAACTATCAAGAGAATTTGTTTTTAGTCCCTAAACTATCAAGAGAATTTGTTTTTAGTCCCTCTTTCAAAGTAAGGTACATTTTACTCTCCTTCTTCAAAAAAACCTTAATTTTTTGTCCTTCTAAGAGGATAAAAAATTAACGTTTTTGTTAAATATAATGACTAAAATGTACCTTACTTTGAAAGAGGGACTAAAAACAAATTCACTTGATAGTTTATAGACTAAAAACATACTTAACCCTACTTAATTAGATGTAATAGTCCCCCTAAAAACACAAATATATTGTTTACCCGATCATGGGTTTTTCTAGGTGCATCATTATTAATTATGTTAATTATAATGTATTCTTGTGAGAAAAATGGTTAATTTTATGGAAAGGGTATGATTTTAGTGGGATCTTAATCGTGGTTTACATACATGTGATAAAATCTTACTTGAATATTTTTAATAGTTAAAATAAATTTTTTTGCAACTTAAAAGAGAGAGATTCACTTGGAAAAATCTCTTCATCAATGTTAACAAGAAAGTTTGAATCTTTTATAAATAGTAAACAGTATCAGTGATTATTAAATAAGTATTTTTTTAGAGAATATTAGTTGTATGTATAAGATCAACATTGATTGTACTTATAATAAATATATAATAACATAATGATACATCATCGTAAAAAATAATAACTATAATATCAAACTCTCGAGATTAATTATGATATGTGGATATTATCCCAAAGGTAGGTTTAAACTTTTCCAAAATGAAGAGACTTCATGTGCCTTACATACTCTTTAGTATGTCTATATATTGGAACTTATAGGTTGTGTTCATTTGGAGGAGATGATTTGGGGAGTGAGGGGATGAATTTGAGAGAATTTGAGGATACATTTTTTGTTGTTTATTTGAATGGATTGGGAGGTAATTGAGAGTGGATTTGAAAGTAAAGTTTGTGAGAATTAGCGTAGAATTTGATTGATGTGATAGATAAAAAAATTTGTTTAATTGATAGAAATTAAAGATTACCAAAATGCCCTTAGTTATTAAAGTAATACAAAATGATAATTGTTAATTTTATATTTAATTCTAAAAATATTTATAAGAGAAAAAAAATTAATTTTTAAAATGTAATAAAAATAGTAATTTAGTAAATTGAAATAATAATAATAATAATAATAATAATTATTATTATTAATAATATTTTTTGTTATTATTAATATTATTTTTTTTTATTTTAATAATAATAATATTATTATTACTATTTTTATTATATTTAATATTATTATTATATTTATTATTATTATTAAAGATGAGAAACACTAGATTTAACACATGAACATGAATCGGCAAGGGAGGGTAGATATGAGAATTTCTCATAAATCCCTCCAAATCACACCTTTCATGCGATGATTGAAGAATAAAGCAATCCCACATTTTCTCGTTCTTATTTCCTCACAAATCAATCAAAACGAACACTATTTTCATTCTTAATCGGTAATCGCAAATTGGTGTAAACAGTAGTTTCCGCAAAAACGAACAGATTCATAATAATAAGGTGAATTATGTTTTTGTCCTGAAATAAAAATGAAAATTAAAATCATTTTTACAAATAAAAAATACAATTAATTCTTATGTAAGCAATACTTTATAAAAATGTATGAGTTAAATATATTTTTGTTTCTTTTAAATAAAAATTAAAATTAGTCTCTTATTTTTTAATTTTAGACCAATTTACTTTTTCAATTTTAAAAGTTAATGAATTTAGTTCTTTTAATAAAATTTTATTAAGTTTATTTGATATTTCAAATACTCTTTTAACTATTATCGAACGTTAAATTTATAATAAAAAATAAAACAATAAATAAATAATCTGAATAAGTTAAATTAATAAACTGTAAAAAAAAATTAAGTGCACAGAGTAAGATAATAAGACACAAGTTGGATATTTAGATAAGTTATTTTAAAATGTTAATATAATAATATAATAAAAAACTGAAATTGATTAAAAAATCACCTTATCAAATTTAGTTCCATCTACAATTTAGATTAAACGTTTTGTCAAACTTAATATACAATTCGTATAATTATTTATACAATTGAAGTCAAAGTCATTGGCCGTTTTCTTTTTTCATTCTTATTCTGTATTTGCCAGCAGCACATCATTCATCGGAGTTGATTACACGAACAAGTTTACTCTACCAGTCTTTGAATATCATCTGTCGCACAAAAATGTTTTTTGTTTAACGATTAATTATTCTAGGCACTGAAGTTAAGGTTGTCATGTCCCCCCATTTTAGTGCTTAAAAATTCGGACATGCTAATATCCATCACTGTTCACAGCTTCTTAAACCCATTGACTTTGCTTACAATTTGGCAGAATAAACTTGGTTTTGCAGAACAAAACTAGGTCTTGTGAAAGAATATGCAACCACTCTAAACTAATATATATAGCTAAACAGCTTGACAAGAGATAAACTAATTTATATTAAAGTGAGTAGAACAGTATATATACTAATGGCTAGATTTAATAAAGTGTAGTGGAATTTCTAAGTCCACCCTTCTATTTCGAAAAGTTTATCACAGACAGATATACACAACTCATATATATATATATATATAATGCAACTCTTTTCTGATAGGATAAACAACAACAGGGCCATAAGAGTGTGTGAATCAATGGAGCTTTTCCAGTGGCTATATATATGCAAGATAATGAAGTGAACTAGGAAAAAGTTGCAGAGTTTCTAATCTCTTAATCTGATATATAAATATATTCTGTGTCTGCTATATCTGCTTCAAAATGTACGAGGTTGAAGGTGAGAGAGCACAACAACGAAACAGCAATGCTCCACCAACTGGGAAATGGACAACTGGTTTATACGATTGCTTTGACGACAAAGGAAATTGTAAGTTCTCTATTCACACCGTGTCTTTTTATTACTATGTCTTTTATATTAACATTCTTCCATTTGTTTTCATGAAGGTTGTTTTACGTGGTGCTGTCCTCGTTTGGCCTTTGGTCGTAATGCGGAAATTATAGATCAAGGAAGAACATGTGAGTAAACTGAAATCTTTAAATGGTTCCACTTGGAAGTTACTTCATAGTCAAAAGTATATTTTACTTAGTTTCCTAATATGTGTTGAAAATATTGATCGCAGCTGCTACATGTGCACGTTTGATATTTTGTGGGCTTGGCTGTTTTGGATTGGGATGCTTATATTCATACAAATTCAGAATCAAGCTAAGATCTCTCTACAACTTACCTGAAGAACCATGCTCAGATTGCTGCGTTCACTATTGTTGTTTAGTTTGTGCTATTTGCCAAGAGCACAGAGAACTTAAAAACCGTGGACTTGACCCCTCATTAGGTATATATAATTACTCAATCAACAACTTACGCACACAAACATGCTTTTTATAAACGTGTGGTCTAATTTTAAGCGAAAAAATTATGAAAAATGATAGAAGTGTAAAAAAACCCACACATATGTGGTTTCTGGACAAGGTCCTCTAATTAGTTGCATATGTATTTTTCTAGGTTGGAAGGCAAACGAGGAAAGAATGATGAAAAAAGCTAACCTGGAAGCTCCACGTGTTGCATCAGCCATGACTCGTTAGATATTGATCTCCTCCACTCTACCATTCATGGACCTTACTTCTTTCTGCTTTTTTTTCTTTTTCTTGATTATCTGTTTCTGCTTTTCCTTCAAAGAACTGTAGTTGGCTTTCTCCTGTGTAAAGTCTTTCCTTCATTTTGTGTTGTGTTTATTGTTTCTTGTCTTGTGAGTAAAATCAAAAGAATAATGTTATTAAACGTATTTTTAAGCACTTATCTAATTAAACTGTGAATTAAATATTAATTTTTTTGTATAAAATTGTCTTGGCAATTCTTTTCTTCTTTTTCCATTTCTCAACACAACAGATCAATGGTTTTACTCTTCAAAATTAGAAATAAATCCCAATTTTTTTATTTTGTAAAAAAGTTTAATATCTCAGATTCATTTTAAAAGGTTGGAAACAGTTTTGAAAGAAATATTCTAATCATCAAATATTTTTTACTTATTACTGAAATAACCTTTTTAGTTTTTTTAAGTTCACCTCTAACGTTAGGAATTCAAGATTTAACTATTAAGTCATAAAAGTTTGTCCTAAAATAAATAAACAGACAAATTAACAAATACCCAAAAATTGAGCAGTGCGGGGGCCCACAGCCCAGAGTAACGGCTCGGCCCAACGATTACAAGGAAAAACCTGACTCCTTCAAAACTGCACCTGTAGATGTAAAAATTACTCGTGATAATGAAAAAAATTGATAACATTGATACAAATTATCAAACCAGCTAAATCACTGGTTATTGACAAAATAAAACATGAATAAAAGGTATTAAGCTAAGTTAATATTACTTAATTTAATTAACTTTGCAACACATTCAGATCCGTTTTTCTCATCCCACATTACCGCGCATAAAAGTTTACCGGTTAGGCGAATACAAAACCCGAAACCGAGACACGAAAAGGAGAAGAAGAAAGTACACACGATTTCTTCAACCAATTCAGACACTGCACCACAAAATGGAGGCTCCATTAGGTGGATCCGGATCCGGACCCGAGAGGGACAAATCCACCGCTCCTCCATCCTCTTCTCCGATCTCCGTCGTCTCCGCCTTCTGGAAAGGTATCATCGAAACTTCACTTCCACGTTTTGCTCTTTCCAGTTTTCCATTAATATTCATAGCTTTCTTCTTAGTCTGTGTTTCTGTGCGCGGCAATTGACCTGGTTATCTCTAATCTATGATGCGTTGCCGCATTGTTTTAATTACTATTGTTTCGGGACTTTATTTTTCTTCTTTTCAGATTTTGAGTTGGAGAAGGAGAAAACAGTATTGGATGAGCAAGGGCTTCGAATTGCGGAGAATCAGGAGAACAGTCAGAAAAATCGACGCAAGCTTGCAGAGAACACTAGAGGTATGAGCAGTTAGTGTTTTCGTTTCTGTTTCCGAATTGTGCTAGAAACGTATTTAATAGAATTATTATTGACCTTTACTACGAAATCAGCATTTGATTTAAGCTTCAAAGTTCACAGTTCACCTTGGATAATGTATACTTACATCTTAGGCATGTTTTCACTAAATTGGAACAACGGAAGGAGCACTGCTGCAATCTGCTTTTTTCATGCTCTGTTTTTTTTCTTTCTTTTTTGTCGTTTATTGTTGGTGCTGTAAATATATGTATATGAGAAACTACATATTATGCTTCTTACAGATTTCAAAAAGGCTTCTCCAGAGGATAAGTTAAGTTTGTTCAATTCCTTGCTTAAGGGGTACCAGGAAGAGGTTGATAATCTTACTAAGAGAGCCAAGTTTGGAGAAAATGCTTTTCTCAACATCTATCAAAAGCTCTATGAAGCTCCCGATCCTTATCCAGCTCTTGTATCGATTGCTGTGAGTTCTAGGATTTAGCTTACGTTCCTTGTTCTTTTTATTTTTGATTGTGTTCGTACGTGAAAGAACTTGTGTAGTGTTACTGGATGAATTAAATATACATTCTTGAGTTAGTTATGTATAATGAATGAATGATTCTCTGATCCAGATATACTGATGTAATATTGCTTTTTTAACAATGAGCACTGGGCACTCCTTCCATCTTGCAATGCATGCAACTTTAACGGTGTTTCCTTGCCATGAAATCTATGCTGAGACATTATTCTGTTTCTAGTATCTCTTTTTTGCTCTGCTCATTATTGCTTTAATTAACGCATTTTCATCTTTTGACATTCAGAGAGTTTGGCAACCATACTTTCTTAGTTTGTATGTTTAATATTACCAACTTAAGTGTCCATCATTAATTTATTATGCAATGAAACAGTTTAATTTTTATTGCTTGCTAACTTGTGGGTACAATGCTCTTGTGCATGGGCACTTATGTTTTATGTGTGAAGGGAAAACCATGTCCATGTTTACATATGGTTGTTTATGTTCTGACATGTTTTCATTGTACAGGAGCAAGATCTCAAGTTATCTGAACTTGAATCTGAAAACCGGAAAATGAAAGTTGAGCTTGAGGAGTTCAGAACAGAGGCAACTCACTTGAAAAATCAGCAGGCTACAATACGAAGACTTGAGGAGAGAAATAGGCAATTAGAGCAACAGGTTATTAATGCTTCTGATACTGTTGTATATGGTTACGTAATGTCACAGTTCCTTTCATTTCTTGCGGAAAATAACTGTTGGTGCTTTTATTTGTTGCCTCCTGTTTCCAATCTTTTATCAACTGGTGTGTTTTTTGGGATCCTATTTTGACTGCCTGTTTCATTTCTGTTATGAAACAACTCTCCCAAAAGCTTAAGCTTTTAGGTGAAAGCACAACAATGGTTTTTAATATATTAAATCTCTAAATCTTAACCATGTTCCTTGTCTAATTTAATTTCTTAATAATTTAAGGATGAATAAACTTAGGTGTACTGTAACTTCAAGTATAGTATTGACTAAAGATTGCTTTACATGTGTTTTATCTAATACTGTANGAAATTGATTAAAAAATCACCTTATCAAATTTAGTTCCATCTACAATTTAGATTAAACGTTTTGTCAAACTTAATATACAATTCGTATAATTATTTATACAATTGAAGTCAAAGTCATTGGCCGTTTTCTTTTTTCATTCTTATTCTGTATTTGCCAGCAGCACATCATTCATCGGAGTTGATTACACGAACAAGTTTACTCTACCAGTCTTTGAATATCATCTGTCGCACAAAAATGTTTTTTGTTTAACGATTAATTATTCTAGGCACTGAAGTTAAGGTTGTCATGTCCCCCCATTTTAGTGCTTAAAAATTCGGACATGCTAATATCCATCACTGTTCACAGCTTCTTAAACCCATTGACTTTGCTTACAATTTGGCAGAATAAACTTGGTTTTGCAGAACAAAACTAGGTCTTGTGAAAGAATATGCAACCACTCTAAACTAATATATATAGCTAAACAGCTTGACAAGAGATAAACTAATTTATATTAAAGTGAGTAGAACAGTATATATACTAATGGCTAGATTTAATAAAGTGTAGTGGAATTTCTAAGTCCACCCTTCTATTTCGAAAAGTTTATCACAGACAGATATACACAACTCATATATATATATATATATAATGCAACTCTTTTCTGATAGGATAAACAACAACAGGGCCATAAGAGTGTGTGAATCAATGGAGCTTTTCCAGTGGCTATATATATGCAAGATAATGAAGTGAACTAGGAAAAAGTTGCAGAGTTTCTAATCTCTTAATCTGATATATAAATATATTCTGTGTCTGCTATATCTGCTTCAAAATGTACGAGGTTGAAGGTGAGAGAGCACAACAACGAAACAGCAATGCTCCACCAACTGGGAAATGGACAACTGGTTTATACGATTGCTTTGACGACAAAGGAAATTGTAAGTTCTCTATTCACACCGTGTCTTTTTATTACTATGTCTTTTATATTAACATTCTTCCATTTGTTTTCATGAAGGTTGTTTTACGTGGTGCTGTCCTCGTTTGGCCTTTGGTCGTAATGCGGAAATTATAGATCAAGGAAGAACATGTGAGTAAACTGAAATCTTTAAATGGTTCCACTTGGAAGTTACTTCATAGTCAAAAGAATATTTTACTTAGTTTCCTAATATGTGTTGAAAATATTGATCGCAGCTGCTACATGTGCACGTTTGATATTTTGTGGGCTTGGCTGTTTTGGATTGGGATGCTTATATTCATACAAATTCAGAATCAAGCTAAGATCTCTCTACAACTTACCTGAAGAACCATGCTCAGATTGCTGCGTTCACTATTGTTGTTTAGTTTGTGCTATTTGCCAAGAGCACAGAGAACTTAAAAACCGTGGACTTGACCCCTCATTAGGTATATATAATTACTCAATCAACAACTTACGCACACAAACATGCTTTTTATAAACGTGTGGTCTAATTTTAAGCGAAAAAATTATGAAAAATGATAGAAGTGTAAAAAAACCCACACATATGTGGTTTCTGGACAAGGTCCTCTAATTAGTTGCATATGTATTTTTCTAGGTTGGAAGGCAAACGAGGAAAGAATGATGAAAAAAGCTAACCTGGAAGCTCCACGTGTTGCATCAGCCATGACTCGTTAGATATTGATCTCCTCCACTCTACCATTCATGGACCTTACTTCTTTCTGCTTTTTTTTCTTTTTCTTGATTATCTGTTTCTGCTTTTCCTTCAAAGAACTGTAGTTGGCTTTCTCCTGTGTAAAGTCTTTCCTTCATTTTGTGTTGTGTTTATTGTTTCTTGTCTTGTGAGTAAAATCAAAAGAATAATGTTATTAAACGTATTTTTAAGCACTTATCTAATTAAACTGTGAATTAAATATTAATTTTTTTGTATAAAATTGTCTTGGCAATTCTTTTCTTCTTTTTCCATTTCTCAACACAACAGATCAATGGTTTTACTCTTCAAAATTAGAAATAAATCCCAATTTTTTTATTTTGTAAAAAAGTTTAATATCTCAGATTCATTTTAAAAGGTTGGAAACAGTTTTGAAAGAAATATTCTAATCATCAAATATTTTTTACTTATTACTGAAATAACCTTTTTAGTTTTTTTAAGTTCACCTCTAACGTTAGGAATTCAAGATTTAACTATTAAGTCATAAAAGTTTGTCCTAAAATAAATAAACAGACAAATTAACAAATACCCAAAAATTGAGCAGTGCGGGGGCCCACAGCCCAGAGTAACGGCTCGGCCCAACGATTACAAGGAAAAACCTGACTCCTTCAAAACTGCACCTGTAGATGTAAAAATTACTCGTGATAATGAAAAAAATTGATAACATTGATACAAATTATCAAACCAGCTAAATCACTGGTTATTGACAAAATAAAACATGAATAAAAGGTATTAAGCTAAGTTAATATTACTTAATTTAATTAACTTTGCAACACATTCAGATCCGTTTTTCTCATCCCACATTACCGCGCATAAAAGTTTACCGGTTAGGCGAATACAAAACCCGAAACCGAGACACGAAAAGGAGAAGAAGAAAGTACACACGATTTCTTCAACCAATTCAGACACTGCACCACAAAATGGAGGCTCCATTAGGTGGATCCGGATCCGGACCCGAGAGGGACAAATCCACCGCTCCTCCATCCTCTTCTCCGATCTCCGTCGTCTCCGCCTTCTGGAAAGGTATCATCGAAACTTCACTTCCACGTTTTGCTCTTTCCAGTTTTCCATTAATATTCATAGCTTTCTTCTTAGTCTGTGTTTCTGTGCGCGGCAATTGACCTGGTTATCTCTAATCTATGATGCGTTGCCGCATTGTTTTAATTACTATTGTTTCGGGACTTTATTTTTCTTCTTTTCAGATTTTGAGTTGGAGAAGGAGAAAACAGTATTGGATGAGCAAGGGCTTCGAATTGCGGAGAATCAGGAGAACAGTCAGAAAAATCGACGCAAGCTTGCAGAGAACACTAGAGGTATGAGCAGTTAGTGTTTTCGTTTCTGTTTCCGAATTGTGCTAGAAACGTATTTAATAGAATTATTATTGACCTTTACTACGAAATCAGCATTTGATTTAAGCTTCAAAGTTCACAGTTCACCTTGGATAATGTATACTTACATCTTAGGCATGTTTTCACTAAATTGGAACAACGGAAGGAGCACTGCTGCAATCTGCTTTTTTCATGCTCTGTTTTTTTTCTTTCTTTTTTGTCGTTTATTGTTGGTGCTGTAAATATATGTATATGAGAAACTACATATTATGCTTCTTACAGATTTCAAAAAGGCTTCTCCAGAGGATAAGTTAAGTTTGTTCAATTCCTTGCTTAAGGGGTACCAGGAAGAGGTTGATAATCTTACTAAGAGAGCCAAGTTTGGAGAAAATGCTTTTCTCAACATCTATCAAAAGCTCTATGAAGCTCCCGATCCTTATCCAGCTCTTGTATCGATTGCTGTGAGTTCTAGGATTTAGCTTACGTTCCTTGTTCTTTTTATTTTTGATTGTGTTCGTACGTGAAAGAACTTGTGTAGTGTTACTGGATGAATTAAATATACATTCTTGAGTTAGTTATGTATAATGAATGAATGATTCTCTGATCCAGATATACTGATGTAATATTGCTTTTTTAACAATGAGCACTGGGCACTCCTTCCATCTTGCAATGCATGCAACTTTAACGGTGTTTCCTTGCCATGAAATCTATGCTGAGACATTATTCTGTTTCTAGTATCTCTTTTTTGCTCTGCTCATTATTGCTTTAATTAACGCATTTTCATCTTTTGACATTCAGAGAGTTTGGCAACCATACTTTCTTAGTTTGTATGTTTAATATTACCAACTTAAGTGTCCATCATTAATTTATTATGCAATGAAACAGTTTAATTTTTATTGCTTGCTAACTTGTGGGTACAATGCTCTTGTGCATGGGCACTTATGTTTTATGTGTGAAGGGAAAACCATGTCCATGTTTACATATGGTTGTTTATGTTCTGACATGTTTTCATTGTACAGGAGCAAGATCTCAAGTTATCTGAACTTGAATCTGAAAACCGGAAAATGAAAGTTGAGCTTGAGGAGTTCAGAACAGAGGCAACTCACTTGAAAAATCAGCAGGCTACAATACGAAGACTTGAGGAGAGAAATAGGCAATTAGAGCAACAGGTTATTAATGCTTCTGATACTGTTGTATATGGTTACGTAATGTCACAGTTCCTTTCATTTCTTGCGGAAAATAACTGTTGGTGCTTTTATTTGTTGCCTCCTGTTTCCAATCTTTTATCAACTGGTGTGTTTTTTGGGATCCTATTTTGACTGCCTGTTTCATTTCTGTTATGAAACAACTCTCCCAAAAGCTTAAGCTTTTAGGTGAAAGCACAACAATGGTTTTTAATATATTAAATCTCTAAATCTTAACCATGTTCCTTGTCTAATTTAATTTCTTAATAATTTAAGGATGAATAAACTTAGGTGTACTGTAACTTCAAGTATAGTATTGACTAAAGATTGCTTTACATGTGTTTTATCTAATACTGTATCCTACAACTTTCCTTAAATCTATTAGAAAAGGGGCAAAGTAGGACTTACCAAGTTGCTGATTTTGTACCCTATTTTTCAGTAAAAGGATTTTTCATGAATTGCTAATTTGTCAATTTGAGATGCATTTCCATGTTTCATGCCTGTTTTATGCATATATGGTGCAAACAAGTGAACTTGGGATGCATTTGCATGTTCCACACCGGTTTATTATCATGACATAACTGAATTCAATTCCCTACGATCAAATTGATAAAGTTCCT